TGCCGCTGCAGGGCGCTGCTGCCAGATGTGTGGCCGTGTGCGCTGTGGAGCTTGGGTGCTGGTGCCGCTGCTGGGTGCCGCATGTGTGGCCGTGTGCGCTGTGGAGCTTGTGTGCTGGTGCCGCTGGCAGATGTGTGGCCGTGTGCGCTTTGGAGCTTGGGTGCTGGTGCTTCTGCAGGGTGCCGCTGCCAGACGTGGGGGCGTGTGCCCTGTGGAGCTTGGGTGCTGGTGCCGCTGCAGGGCAGGGTGCCACCCGAGGTTGGTGCTGCAACGTGTCTTTTCTGTATGCGCTTTGGAGCGCTGCAGAGTGCCGCTGCAATGGGCCCACAAAATCGTTGGCTATCCTTAGGTGTATGCGGGTGTATGTTTTGATACTCACATCCTTCAGCGGCCAGCCATGCTTGGTCCCCTCCAATACTCCATCGCTGCGTCGATCTGGCCAGGCTAATTGGGGCAGCATTGAGGTGCTTTCCAAAGCAGATGGGAAACTTGGAGCTGCATGTAACATTCCTGAAAGAATGATGGAAGTGGAGGTATTCGGAGAATTGTGTTTCAAGGGGCCATGCCATCCACTGCCATGGGCTATTTCAAAGGGTGTATCTGCTGTGAATGTTCCACCTGATTCCACCTCTTCGATGGTCATCATTTCTCTCTCAAATGCCCGGCGAGTGCTCCCAACCACCACTCACGGAACAACAAGGAGTTTCCCAGTTTCAGACATCTGCAAACCAGAAAGAAGTCGACACTCTGAGGAGTCTTGAAATTGGTTTCGCTCCAGTGACTTTTGTCAGGACAGATTGGCTGTTCTTTGACCTGAATCTGTCATGCATCAGCAGCTCGGCCAGTGAACAATCTCTTTTTGGTTCTTCCCAACCAGCGAAGAATCGACAGCTCCAGTGAAGACCACCGCTTTGGCCGTTCCAATTTTGGGTAAGATGCTGGATCGCCACGGCTGCGAAGGTACCATGCCAGATCCGGCCTTGATCGCTGATCCTGAAAAACTTTGGCCACCAGGCAAGGACCTGACGGACACCGACAAACAATTTGGGAGCCTGTAGCAGATGCTGGTTGTTCGATGGCTCAATCAAGTGAAATGGTCTAATTGGTCTAATTGTCTAAAGGCCATATCACACTTCAGCCATTTCAGCCGTCCAACGACGTTCCTCACCATGTCAAGCTTTTGCTCCGCTGATGGCAGCGATGCAGTTCGGGCACAGCATCATCTCGATGAGCGAGATGAGGGTGCCGATTGCGCGGTGGCACGGCAGCTTCGGATGTGCATGAAGGAGGAACGTTGCAGGCTTGAGAGTTTCATCCAAGATCTATTTGATGCTCAAAGCCTCAAGCTACGAGAGCTGATGGCAGCCATTGAAGGGGGTGTGCGCTACGGCGACCACCCGCCCGGGCGCTCCAAAAACCAGGTGGCACGAGTTCGTGACGTTCCAAGCGCTTCCCAAGCGCGGGAGGGTGGCTTGGGTGACATAGGCGAGGAGGAACAGCAAAGAAGGCCGAGCAAGGAGCAAGGTGTCGATGGTGGGGCTGCAGGGATTTCACATTCGCTGCAAGTTCCAGAGGTACAAGTCACAGGCACAAATCCTATACGCGTGCGGAAGATCGTCTCCAGCCGCTTTTTTGCAGGCTGCATTCAAGTGCTGATCATAGTGGACCTATTGCTTTTAGGTTTTGAGGTAGACGCTTGGTCGGTACTTCCTCAGAATGCTCTCCCTACTTGGTCATTGTGGGGAAACCTTGTGCTTGTCATGGCCTTCTGTGTTGAGATCATCATGAGATTCATGGCTCACGGATGGAAGGCCATGCTTTTTGGCCCGGAGCGATGGTGGAACATCATGGGGCTTTTTGCTGCCCTTCTCTCCTTCATTGAAGTTTGCTGTCAAGTTGAGTTCCATCTGCGTCGACATGCGCAGGGTCACCTCATGGGCCTCCAGGTTCTTTACTTTTTTCGATCCTTACGCGTCTTCAGGAGTTTGAGGGTCATTCAGTTTGTGCACAAAATTCCTGCCCTGCGGGCGTTGGTGTTGTCAGTTGCAAACAGCGGCCCAGTCTTGCTGTCGTCGCTGGTGCTGCTTCTGCTCGTTTTGTACTCTTTCTCATTGATTCTGACGAACATGGTGGGGGAGTTTTGCAGGGAAATGACATACAACTATGCACACTTCTCCCACGACCAACCTCCTCTCTGCCCTTCTGCACTGCAGACAAAGTTTCAAGGGCTGTTGACAAGTATGATGACATTGTTTGAGATCGTCACCGGTGGTGTGGATTGGCAAGAGACCGGCACTGCATTGCAATCCGCATCGGACGTTGCTTTTGCACTACTGATGTTTTTCATCCTTGTGGCTGATTTCGCGATGATGAACGTTGTAACTGTACTTTGGTAGCCGAAGGTAATTAGTTTTAAGGTTGTTTGCATACATATATGTATGTGACATTACATATACTTCAGTTAAACTTTAGTCCAAGCAATCATTCCTAATCGATGAATTACACTCGTGTTGCATTGCTATGTCCGTACTCGCTCATGTAGACCCGTATGCTTTTGGTTTGATGAGCGATGATGAGCGGTATTTGTTTTGGGAGTGTCCTTTGGATTCTTTGCCGTGTGACTTGAGCTCACGAGGCCATGTTTTGCAATGTGGCCCTTGAGAGTGCCCAAGCCCACCGAGACATCGCCTTGGTGAAGCAGATGCAGAAGCGCCAAGCACTAGTGCATGCCCTCAAGAAGCTCTTCTCATGCCACGTCCCAAGCCAGGCTCACAGCATGGGTTTTGCCGACCTCCAGGAAGCCTTGATGAATGAAAAGCTCTCAGCCTGCTTGAGTCGATGGGGCATCCCTACCGATGACTGTCAGGCTCTTTTCATGGCAATGGATTCCGACAGCACGATTACAATCGAGGAATTCGTGGACACTTGCATGCAACTCGGTGGCCCAGCGCAAAGCCTGCAGCTGGCGAAACTGACCTTGCAGAACCAGTTCATGTGGCAGGACATCCAAGAGATCAAAGGATTTCTACGCAGGTCGCTGTCCTTGCAGAGTACTCGCATGAAGAGCGTGCGAGACTCCTGCAGCTTCTTCCACGGGCGGTGCAAGTGCAAGAAGCAGCGCACCCACGAGAAACCAAACCAGTCCCAAAACCAGTCCCAGATGAGCCTTGCCAACCTCCAGGATGCCTTGAAGGCTCAGAGCCTGACCGGAGTTGAGTTGAGGAATCCTATCGGCGACTCGCTCCAACGGACAAAGACATGAAAACAATTTTCATTTGCAGCTTGCCAAGCTGACCTTGGAGAAACAGTCCCTAGCGACAAGATTTGGCAGATGCAGATGGGATAGTAGATGGGATTTAATAGTTAGGTCACCGCCTTGTGGAGTGCTCGCATGAAGACCGTGCGGAAATCTGCAGCCACGAGCCTGCAACCTGCAAGCATGAGCTCTGAAAGGAAGACGGTGGAAAGGCCTGAACCTAGAAGCCATGTGGCTTCTATTGGAGGGGACTGGCTACCTATTTTGGTAGAGAGGTATATTTGCATGTGATTTTGACAATTTTGTGGATTAAACAGCGATTGCGACTAGGAGAAGACCCCTTTTCCTTCTCGGATCCCATCGGTGGATGCCAGTTGAGGTTTCCACCACTTGTCCGGCTTCTTTGTTCTTTCTCGTCAAGCAAGACACCTCCGGGGTTTGCCCCATAGACCTCCTCAGTTCCCATCAACGTCACCCCAGAGCCACCGCCAGAGCCACTATCTTCGATCCGACGAACCCATCGCAGCCGCTGCGAGCCGCGCTCCGGGCTTGGCCGCGGTTTCTTCGCACGAGACCGGAGGCTTCGATCCATACGCTTCGATGGCCTCGTGGATCAAAGAGCATGGCCTCGAGGCGTGGATCGGTGCCAGTCGGTGGTCTGCGAGGCGACCGAGGCGACCGGGCACGAGGAAGGATGGAGAAGCCCGCGAGAAGGCTGGTGGTATCGAACTCACCAGGTCCGATGAACCCGATGGGTTTTGGTCATTTCCATTCTCGATACACCCAGATGGGGACTGCTGCGTCATGATGCGCACTGCAGTCACTGTTTCAACGCCTGACCCTGTTTGCAGGTACGGGAGCGCCCGCAAAAGGCTTCTCGCTGCTAGTGGAAAATGGGTGGCTCCAGTGCCTGCAGCGGGGGGGATCATGCAGGAATGCCTCTGTAGTCTATAGAAGTAAGGCTCACTCATGTGTGCGATTTCCCTAAAAATACAAAACAACATATAACAACATCTTTCATTTGTTAGACGTTGCAACTGGAGCCTTTTTCACACACCTCCAGTGGCCACTTGGACAGAAACTTGGACCACTTGCACACTCAAAGGAGCCGCGCTGGCGCTGGCGCCCTCTGTGACCTCCCGCTCGTCCCCGTTTGGCAGGAACACATCGACCGCACGGTGCGCGAGCTCGAGCAGCAGATCTTCGCTGCCGGGAGACACGACGTTCGTCCGATGTTCGCGGAGGTTCGGAGGTTCGAAGATGTTCGGACAGGTAGTGGAGCAGTAGAAGAGACACTGAGAAGGTGATGCGAACGAAGTTGGAAAGGAGACCTCTTGAAGTTGGGAGTACTTGTAGAGACAGCCCGAGAGATACAATGACATTCTGATTGATATGCCGGATATGCCAAAGCCTCCCTTAAAATCGTTTGGGAAAGATGTTCTTCCCAGTGCTCATGTTGGATAGTGCAACATCCAGGCGGGCGAGATCATTGTGCAGCAAGATGACCCTGCGAGGTGTATGCGCTTAGCTAGAGGGGTCCTGGCGATCAAAGTGCTTCAAAGATGAGCGTTTAAACATGAGTGACTGTGAGTTGAAGCAATTCTGGACATTGAGAACATGCGATTCTCATGCTTTCACTCGCGCTCTCCCGATTTTCCCGATTTTCGCCAGGCATTTTTACCTCATTCAGCGCGGAACAGTGGTGGTCTGGAGCTCAGTGATTGGCGCTTTGTCCATGCCACACGTTCCGGGCGCTGACTATGGCGCTACTGTGGACGTCCCTGACGATGAGGGTCTACCAAGAAGTGGCAAGAAAGGCTCACCACCAACGTCTATCCTTATACAGCACCGGGCATTTGATGGTTGGAAAGAGTTTGAAGGAGTTGCTTCTTCACAACTCAGGAACACTTATACGAAGAACTTCTACAACACTACTACTACTACTACTACTACTACTACTACTACTACTACTACTACTACTACTACTACTACTACTACTACTACTACTACTACTACTA